CCAGCCCTGACATTCAGCATCCAAATTACAAAACCTGCAGATATGACGTTTAGTTATTATTAACTTTTAAAAACCTGTAGTCTTACCTTCTCCCTTGTAGTCACTGTTTAYCACCAAATCCTGTCTCGCTTTCATTAAAGTTTGTGTTAGGTCATTCCTAACCACGTCATTTTTGGTCCTGTACTCGATGACTTCGCCAAAAACCGAATGAAAAAAATTTACAGCATCTACGTCGACCGGAGATGTTTGAAGTTTTAAGAACTTTACGATTTTCGGAAAAAGTACTCCGAGTATCTGAGCGAAAATCACTTTACCGCTTGGTTTGAACACTTTCTTCACGTTTTGTCTAAAGCTCGAATTATCGTTATTAATTGTGTCCAATTTCATACCGAAAGCGCACGTACCAATCACATCGGTGGCTAAATTGCCGATGAGTTCGTACACTTCAATGGCGTCGGTTTCTTTGGATTTATCGTGAATGCAGTTCGTCAACTGATCGCTGCACTCTYGGATCTGTTCGTGCGTACCTTTGAGCTTACCGGAAGTGAATCCCGGACTCAGTTTTTGTCTCATCGTTTTCCATTTTTGTCCGGTCGCAAAGAACAAACTTCTGGCCATCACGTTCACCGAAGGATTCATATCAATACCGTGGTCAGTGAAATACGAAAAGTCTTTGATGATCACCGTGTTGATCAGCTCTGGATCGCGAAGCATCAAAAACGGTGTGCTCATCTGATAGAAACCGCAATATTTTTCATTGGGGAACTGTTTATAAATCCGTCCGAACGCGTCCACTTGGTGCTCTAAGCCCGTAAACATTTTGAATATGTTCCCGAAAAAGGGCACCGGCTTCGAGAATGGCACATTTAATTTCTTCCATGTGCCGTACGTCGACGTCGTATAATAGTAAAGGAACGTACAAACAATAATCAAGCTCAGGACGATGTAGTCAAACAGCAAATTGGTCAGGTACGAAATCATTGTTACGAAATGATGTAGGTGCCTAGCAAAATTATTGTGACTAGTCGCAGGGAACTTCTACGGGCGTATAATGAATTACACTGGACCCCGATATATGAACTTAAAAAAAAAAARCATCAAAAACGTAATACTTCTCGGTTTTTTTCTCATTTTAGCTTTTGAAATTACATAATCTGTTTGTGGAGGGAATACAAAACTTATGTAATCATATAACATCACATATATAATATTATTGATTTTATGTTACGCAAATTGACTGCAGACAGACTATATAAATCAGTGACCACTGATCTATTATTATAYTATGATATTATTTTATTATCAACTGCCGTATAGATTGGACGGTTGCTATATARTCGTCGGAGAGTAGTGGTGTCCTACATAACCGTTCGTATATTTTTTATTACGACTAATATAAGTWATCTTAAGTGTACTCTAAAATCATGAGACAAAATAGAGGTCAGRCTCATGATTACGATTTATCGCATAATGGACCTCAACCACTCAACAACAACGAACGTCGGGATTAYAACAAAAAAATTAATATGTATTTTCAAGCAGCTTTAGTATACTAATTTTAGGTATTTATAATGTTGATAGTGTGAAATTATGTTGAGAAAGATTTTCATCGGTTGATGGTTATACTCTTTTATACACGATATTATGATTAAAATCGATACTTTTTATGTTATAAATAGTAACATAG